TGTGACAAAGAAAAATAATAGTGGAAGGGATACCTACTGCTTCTCAAGAGAAAATAGGGCAAAAGAGGTAGAAATCATACATATGGCTGGAGAAGTCTACATACTGATTTAAGAGTACCAGTAACAAAGTCATTGGGGTGCATTAAACACCAGAAAATAAATATAATCTCACCGTTATCATCATCTAGAGTTGGTGAGATGGCATCTGGCACTAGAGCATAGAAGGCAGTAGTGTAGTGGTTAAGGAAAGGTGCTTTGAAGCCAGGCTGACCAGGTTTCAATGCCCTGTGCTGCCTCTTACTTGTCATGTGATATTGGTCAAGATAATTGCCATCTCTGAACCTTAAATGGCCCATCTGTAAATTGGGTATCAGAATGTTTACCTAATACTGGTAACGAATATTAAGGGCTAGAATGTATTTAAATATCTACCACAGTATACCACACAGAGTAGGTGGCCACTATCATCATCATCACCATCATCATCATCATCTGTAGTAAATAGGTAGTACTTCTTTATGGAATTCAAAAAACCAGAAGATGGAAACATGGTAGATAACATTTGGCTGAGAATAAAAGCAAAGAGAAAGCAGTAATGTGTTATTGGATCACACTATGAACTTCCCTGGAACAGAAGAAAGGAATAGTATTGAATTCTGTTCCCCTTCCCTCATTCTTTTCCCCTCTAAACAGGCCCAGGCAATCCCCAATGTGTGCACACATACACATCTTCTCGACCCTGTTTTCTGTATCTTGGGACACACAATCTACCTAATCTGAATTTGGAAGTCATGCTAACCTGTGATAGGTTAGTTTTTAATAGAGGGAAGGATGCAGAAGCAAAATTTCATGAGCTGAAGACTGAAAGACTGAAAGATAAGAAGTATAGGTGGCTCTTTCAACATATTTTGAAACAAAGAGAAGGAAAAAGATATTGCACTAGTCTGTGGGGAGGGTAGATTCAAAAAGAGGATTTGGGGGGAGGAAGTGAAAGGGAGATGCTTGGATATGTTTGTAAGCAGAAGAAAAAGAGCTCTTTGAGAAAAATACTAAAGATATAAGAGAGAGAAGGGAGATGATTAATGGAACAGAACATCTTAAAGGAGGCAGAGGGGATAGGTAAGAAGAAAACAAGGTTAACCTTTAAAAAAAAGATACAAAAAGAGTAAAGATAAAAGTTTGAAGGGAAAGAAAGATTTTGCAACCAATGAGCTTCTCTTTTCCAGGAACTATGTAACTAGATTATCGGCTGAAGGGAGCTGGGATAGGGAGCACTAAATTAGGAGGGGTGTGTTAAGAAAATGGAATAGTTGCTGTGGGAAACTGAAAAAGGAACCAACTAGGAATGTGTAAAAAAGGATTACTGAGCAGTCATTGAGGATCCAGCTGTGGTTAAAAATCATAGTTTGGTCATGGATATAATCAGCATGGTGAGGCAATTTTCTTTAGTACTTACTCAGCAGCCTGGGAACAGAACAGAAGAAAACAGATGCTAAAGTCCATCTAGGTTTGGGGATTGGCAGGACAGGTGCAATGGAACAACAGGGATGTGAAGGAACTGAGGATACTGTGGAAATTAATATCAAATAGTTGGCAGGGTCAAGTGGGGGTGGTAAGTTGTTGGGTGGGAAAGAACACAGAAGCAGGAGATGGCTGGAAGTCACAGAGAAAAGGGAAGAGACTAGAAGCATCAATGAAATCAAAAAGGTTCTATGAGAGTCAGAGAACAGGAGACATGGAAGGCTAGACGTTTTGGTTGAAAAGCTGAATTTGGGAGTTTGAAATATCAGAAGCAGAACAGTTCCAGTTGATGACATGGTTAGTAAGTGTGGCCATATACAAAGGTGAAGCACAGTGAAAATGGAGGTCATATTATTTCAGGTCAAGATGATGCATCAGTGTGGCCACTGACATGGTCTAGGATGATGCCAGGAATCAGAGGTACATAGAAGTGCCAGGGGCCTCACAGAATTGAGCAAGTAACCCAAAGATTGGTCTATGCAATGAAGAGAGTCAGCATGATATCTGATACCAGGCACATCAAAGAATAAAGGAAAAGGAAAGACATTGGACAACATTCTGGCATCAGAAGCTAATTTGAGATTGGGGAATTATCGGCAAATGAGCAGTTTCCACTTAAGAGGATTGTGGAAGTAACAGTGTCATGGAAAGAAAGAGTTCCAGAAAAAATGGTTGCAAATATATGGACATTCTTGACCAAGGAACAAGATTTCTGGAGGGCACAGATGATTTAAGAAGGAGGTGTTAGCCAGGAAGCAATATGCTTATGAAAGGGGAATGGCTATGTTGAATTTATATGAGGGAAATTTCATCCTTTAGGATGCTTAAGAAGCAACCAGAGGAACTACAAATTCTGTAACTAAGTTTGACCAAGAAAGAAGAACTGATTGGTAAAAGCAGAAGTGAAAGAAACTTTAGGAAATGTAGCCTGTCATCTTAAGTACTATTAGATAATGACCACAGATAAAAACAAATGATAAGTACAATGATATTCCCCAGATATTGAGAATTAAAATTTTTAAAAGAGACCACAGTTACCCTTACGTGGACTAATCTTGAAAAGGAATAAAAGATTTGGGGTAAAAGGTCTCATAATATCATCAATCCCCCATGATCTCAAAGGAAAAAAAAAAGGGAAATGACTGAAGAACAGAATGTAGCCACACAGAAAAAACATGCTGACAGGCTGCAGGAACCAATGTGGCTATAGCAAGCAAAGATTTTTAAAGGTAAGATAATTTACCCTAAGTAGAAGATATATGTGAACAGGTGACAGAGAAAGAGAACAAGTGAGCAAGCAAGAATACCAGTGGAATGACTCAGTTCCTATTTCTATTCCATTTTAAATAAGAATAGTTTTTCAAACTGAAAACAGTAGCACCAACATGAATAAGAGTTCATCAGAGCCCAACAGATATGGAGATATCAAGAGTAGCAAGCAGTTTCAAATAAACTGGGGTCTGTGGGCCCAGATAAAGTATATCCTGTGGTGTTGAGATAACCTACATTCCTGATTGAGAAGCCATTGCTGGTAATCTCTGAAAAAATCATGGCAGGTTAGAAAACTTGGGCTGTTAATTTGAAAACTAACAGCCCAATTTTCAAAAGCCAGGACATTTCTGAAACAGCTTGAAACACAAAGACTGCTAATCTTGATGGAAAAAAAGAATAGTTTATGATGGAGTATTAAAGAGATGGTTATGAGCAATGATCAGGTCATGTGAATGATAGATTGAGATCAAGGTAATGGCACTAAGTCTTGTTCAGTTTCAGTAAGTCATTAAAGGCCTTTTTTCCCCTAAAGAATATGTTCACATGAGGCAGTGAGGTGTGTCCTGGATTACTACACAAGTAGGTTGCTTTATGATTGATTGAATAATCTTACTCAAAAAGAATCGTAACAGAACAAACTATTGCTAAATGCAACAACTTGGATGAACCTCAAGGAAATTATGCTGAGTGAAAAAAACCAATCTCAAAAGGATATATACTGCACGATTCCATTTACGTGACATTCGTGAAATAATGTAATTATAGAGACAGATAAAAGATTTGTGGATGCCAAGGGTTAGGGACAGGGAAGAGGAAGGAATGTGGCTATATAAAGAGGTAGCACAAGGGACTCTTGCAGTGATTGCAAAGTATCTTGATTGTATAAGATTGGGAGTGGTTACCTAAAGCTATAAAGGTAATAACATTGCATAAACCTTCTCTCCTCTCCCCCTATAAGTTCCATGGATTGTACTAATGTCAATTTCTTGGTTTTGATATTGTATTATAGTCATGTAAGATGTTATCATTGGAAGAAGCTGGGGGAAGGGTACAAGGGACTTCCCTGCACATTTCTTTGCAGTATCCATAATTATCTGAATCTATAATTACTTAAAAATAAAAATATTTTTAAAGAATGCTAATTAATGGATCAATGTCAATTTCACAAAAGGAGATCTAGTTGCGTGTTTCAGGGCTCTGTACTTGGCATTAATAAAATACCACTTTTAACTGAAGTTAGGGAAGACCTTGAAAGTATGTTCATAAAATTCATAAATTAAGTAAAACATGGAGTTACAGATAATCTGCTTTCAAAGAGAACCAGAATCCAAAAATATCAACAGGTTAGACTAGGAACTGACAGGTAATAGAGATAAGGGTAGAACCCACCATTGTACCCCTAGCATGCAGCACAGTGCCTGGCATAAAGAAGAGGACTCAAAAAATTATCTGGTGAAAAAAATAAGTGAATGCAAATTTTTTTGTGTGTGTTTTTGTTTTTGTTTTTTTTACTATGAAACATAAAATAAGAGAATTTATCCATGTGAGTATTTTTAATAAATTATTTCAGTAGTCTGTGAACACTGCTTATAAAAAAATAAGGCTGCAGGAAAACCTGTATAAACTCTACATCATCAAAGAAATGTGTTGTATGTTTTTCAGTTCAATTTAGCAAGAAACAGCAATTTACATGATCTGGATATTTCAACTAAAGAACTTCTTAGATGTAAATCAAACACTGAAATTAATATGAGAATGATTCAATTTTTACAACTTTCCCCTCTGGTTTTGTGGTAGTTTTGTATGTGTTTTTTTTTTTTTTCAGAATATTATGGGGGTACAATCGTTAAGGTTACATACATTGCCCTTGTCTCCCCTCCCCCCTCAAGGCAGAGCTTCAAGCGTGACCATTCCCCAGACAATGTGCATCACAATCATTGTGTATGTAAATGCCCATCCCCTTCTCCCCCCTCCCACCTGCCCCATGCCCAACAAATGTTTTTCTTTTTTTCTTAACATTTTGGTTACATTTTATATCTTTGCCTCTCCCTAGCAAGGGTTAGAGGTATGCCCTTCCCCGCCACAATGTTCACCACATCCCTCAGATGTGGGACTACCCCCACCCCCGAATCCCTGGTGAACACCACCACCCTTTGAGCACCATGTTTATCAGTCAGTACCAATTTGATGGCGAGTATATGTGTGGAGCCCATTATTCTGATCTTGTGTCACCTCATTTTAGATAATGGGCTTAAAGTGAATGCAAGTTTTAAAAATGGTTAAAAAGGTTTAATGAGAGTTCATCTGAAAAGGCTCCCATGGATTATACTATTTCCTCAAACTGGCAGAATATGCCACTTCATTAACAAGGTATGTATTTTTTAAGGGAGGGCAAAGGAAAATATATTATAACTGTGCTTTGCTCTAGTCAGACTGCACATATAAGACTACACCAAGTCAAGTCCTGAGGGCTACATTTTAAAGGAGACATGAGTGAACTAGAGTGTATCCCAAGTAAGGTGACTAAGATGGTTAAGTATCTGAAAATCTGGGGGCCTGCAACCGAGTGGGAGTGGAGTGGAGTGGCCATTGTTGCTGACTCTTTTCTCCTCCCCATGGTCCAGTCAGCAGGTTGATTAGGCCCTCAGCCCTCGAGTGGAGACTTGTCTCTTATTTAGTTCTGGCGGAGCGCCTGGCCGACATGAGTGATATAGAAGAGAACAACTTCGAGGGCAGAGAGTCTCGCTCTCAGTCAAAATCTCCAATGGGAACTCCTGCTCGTGTAAAATTGGAGAGCAGGTCAGGATCTCGTAGTCCATCAAGGGTTTTCAAACACTCTGAATCCCATTCTCGATCAAGATCAAAATCCAGGTCAAGGTCAAGGAGGCCTTCTCATAGACGTTACATTCGATCCAGATTCCACTCTCACTCTCACAGCAGACGATCTTGAAGTAGGTTATATACACCAGAATACCAGTGACAAAGGAGCCGAAGTCATTCTCCAATGTGTAACCGGAGAAGACATACAGGCAGCAGGGCGAATCCAGATCCCAATACTTGTCTTGGAGGGTTTGGTCTCAGTTTGTATACAACAGAGAGAGATCTTCATGGAGTATTTTCTCGATATGGACCATTGAGTGGTGTCAATGTGGTTTATGATCAGCGAACTGGGAGATCTCAAGGATTTGCTTTTATGTATTTTGAGAGAATAGAGGATTCAAAGGAGGCTATGGAAAGGGCAAATGGAATGGAGCTGGATGGTGGAAGAATTCGTGTGGATTATTCTTTCACCAAGAGAGCACACATGCCTACACCAGGCATCTACATGGGCAGACCAACTCATAGTGGTGGCGGTGGTGGAGGTGGCGGCAGAAGTTGAGATTCTTACTGTGATAGAGGATATGACTGTGGGTATGACAGATATGAAGACTATGATTACCGGTACAGAAGAATCTCACCTTCTCCTTATTATAGTCGTTACAGATCACGACCAAGATCTCATTCCTACAGTCCAACACACTATTGATAATGGAATGGTTGCGGTTGAGAACATTTTTTTCTCTTTATTTTCTTTTTTCTTTCTCTTTTTTTCTGTAATTCTGGATTTCCCCATGCTTCTGATCCCTCCTACTCCTCAAAAAAAAAAAAAAAAACCTTTAAAAAACTCTGTGATTTATTCAGCATCTACACTTTTGTCAATTATGTTGCTGTTTTCCACCCCTTTTATTGTACTCTTAAAGGTATAATTGTTGTCATTTGAGTAAACATCTTGAGTAAAAAACGAAACCCCAGTGTTATGCTTTGTAAATGATTTCTTTGCTTTCATAGAAGATAAACTCCTAGTTAATCACATGAGGAAAGAAATGATCTTTTAAAAGCTTCTTTTGTGTTAGATATTGTATTAGACATCTGCATTTATGATGAGCTCCCCCTTTTTTTAACTTTCTTTTGGGGAAAATATTAATAGTAACACTTGAAGTAGTTCAGTCATGTCAGGTTTGTCTGGGGTGGCATGGAGCAGTCAAATAGTTGAGTTTAGAAAGTTTGAAGGTATAGAAAACACTTGCCCATTTCTTTGGAAGTACAGAATTTTTGAACTTTAAAAATTTAGTCATTTTTAGAGATGAAAAGCTCGTGGATTCCTACAAAACCTGTATTTGAAATACATCTGTGAAACCTTAAAAGCTTAAAGTGTGATTTTTGTGTTAAACTTATTCAATTATTCCCTTAATCAGAGAAGGAAACCCTTATTTATTACCTAGAGCAATTGTACAATTTGCTATTAGAAATTTTGGTATTGGGACAATGGTTAAGCAGGTTATTGTATAGTATAGAGTTCTTAGAAGATACATGTGGGGAAATGTAGTCATCTTTTAAATAAAAGTTAATTTCTTTGAAAAAAAAGTATCTAGAAATCTTGTTATATAAAGAACATCAGAACGCAAGATATGTAGCCTGGAAAAGATAAGACGTGGCAGGTAGAAGGGACAAGTAGGCTATAATATAATAATATTGACTACCTCATTGTAGGTAACATGGCACTTTATAGCTTACAATGTGTTTTATACTTGTGTCCTTATCTGCCTAATATCTGGAAGGCTGGCAAATGAGGAAAGGGTTAGATTTTATTCTGTGCAGCCACAGTGGTTAGAGATTACAGAGACAGATTTCAGTTCAATATAAGAAAGGATTTCCAAGCATTTCAATCTCCATGACAATAGAATAACAACATCAAAAACAACCAGAATATCCTAGTAGAAATAATAAGCACTATACATTTATCATGTGATTTAATCATCACAACAGTCCTGTGAGGTAAATCCTATTAATATTATTCCCATTTTACAGATGAGAGAACTAAAACCCAGAGGAGTAAAATGATCTGCCCAAGGCTATACCACACCTGGTCAAGAGCTAGAATTCAAATTCAGGGAGCCTGAGTCTAGAGCCATTGCTTGTAGGGTAACTGGAACAATCACCTGCTAAGGTCATTGCAGGGTGAATGGCTTGCTAACCTCAGTTGGAAGTGGTACTAGATCAAAGCTAAGATAATAGGATTCTAGGAATCTTGGATGATAGGCTGGTTTGGATTCAAAACCCAGCACAGAGTTCTTCTGGAAGTGGCATGGTTCTGGTTTAGTTCTAAGGCCCTAAAGCAGGTTATTTCAGAGTGAAGGCAAGAGCATCAGGCTCAAAGAATTAGGATAGACCTTTGGAATAGTGGTATAGTTCTATATGCATTGGGATTGGTTTTGGTTTTACCAAAATTTGCAATTTGAAGATCCATTAGAATATCAGCGTCATCATAACTGAATTACAAAAGTATCTGTGTTCTATTTCCTATTCCAATCCCTGCCGTCATCAACTGACGCAACATATATTAAAATCGCAAAGTTCACTATAGTTTGACAGTTTTAATTAAGGAATTCTCCCAACTCAAACCATATAAATTGAGATTTCTACCTCTGGGGAAATAGAGCAGTAGAGTTTCCCATCATTAAAGATTTAAAAGGAAAGAAACCTGCCATATTGAAAGTCAGTTTAATAGTTGCTAGGTTGAACTGTCTTCAGAGTACACAGTATATCATCAAAAGTAGAGACAGAATATAAAATATGGAGTCAAATCTAGATGAATGTCTGAAAAATAAATTGGACCATGGAAAATGTACTAAGGTCATCATAATAAACAACCTATATTCAGAAGTACTCAAATTATCTCAGACTTTTACCAATGGTTATGCTTATGGCACCTCATGGGGAAGTGGGGGTGTGGCAACTATAAACAGCTAAAAACAAATGCCAACTCTGTAAAATATACCTGCTTAAGTAGGTGTCTACAAATGTCTGCAGATTCCCATCCTTGGGATTCTAACTGGAGCTTAAGGAGCAGAGGTTGCAACTAAGGGCCATAGAGTTTCAACTGCTTTAGACACGTAGGCAACAGTCAGTCGGTGGCCTGAGGCATGAGGGTGAGGTCAGGGGCAAAACCTGGAAAATGCATCTAGCTGGGTGGAATGGTGGTGGGGCAGGGATTAGTGGCAGGTAGGATTCTCTTATTTACTTCATTAGAGACTCTGGGAGGTTAAGTGGCCTGTCCTACATAACATGAAAGGCAAATTAGTAACAGACCACAGAGTCAAACCCAGGTCTATATGCCTCAAAAGAATAAGCACTAGTCTGTAAGTCATAAGAAACAGCTCTACCACTAACCAGCCCAGTGATTCTGGATCAATTACAACCTAAGGCTCAGTTTTCCCATCTATAAGAGGGGTGGCATTTGGGGGAAAATTTTTATTTTTTATATCATCTTATCCCAAAGGAAATGCCAGATGGATTCAAGATTTAAACGTAATTAAAATCATAACTATTACTATGAGAAATAGGTCCATCCCTAAAATTTGCAAGGCCAGGGGCAAGAATATAAATGTGGGCTCTTAATCCCCCTTCTTTCCCATGTGTAGACCACACAGTCCACACATCCAAGCTCTACCCACATACTTCTTCCACCAAACAAGCACCCCTTAGACATAGGAAAGCTCAAACCTATGGCACAGTTCCCCCTTGAGAGGACAGACTCGGGGGAGAGGCCCTTACAAGCCCTGTAAGCACATGGAACAGGGAATCCTCAGCTTTCAAGTATCTGGAGCGTAGTCTAGAAGAAGCAGGCAGGAATTCTAGGTGGGCACATCTACTCAGCCCTTAGAATTCCTTGCTCTGTGATAACAGACATGTAAAATATAAACCATAAAGGAAAAGGCTGATACATCTGAGTATATAAAAATGGAAAATTTATAGACATTAAAAACAAATCAATTACAAAGCAAATATCAAAACTGAGAAGAAACATGTTCAACATTATGACAAAGAATTACTATCCTTAATAATTAAATAACTTATAAATCATTTAAAAAGTGACTTGCCAGGCACAGTGGCTCAGGCCTGTAATCCTAACACTCTGGGAAACTGAGGCGGGAGGATTGCTTGAGGTCAGGAGTTCAAGACCTGCCTGAATAAAAGCGAGACCCTATCTCTACTAAAAATAGAAATTATCTGGACAACTAAAAATATAGATAGAAAAAATTAGCCAGGCATGGTGGTGCATCCCTGTAGTCCCAGGTACTCGGGAGGCTGAGGCAGGAGGATCGCTTGAGCCCAGGAGCTGGAGGTTGCTGTGAACTAGGCTGATGCCACAGCACTCTAGCCAGAGAAACAAAGTGAGACTCTGTCTCCAAAAAAAAAAAAAAAAAAAAGTGACTACCCAATAAGGAACTATCGATAATATTAACATATGAAAAAATTCAATTTACTAGTAATTAAAGAATATACCACAACCAAAATCCCTTTTTGATTTATCAAGTTGGCAAGTATTTTCCAATTAATGATACACAGGATTGGAAAGAGTTCAGTGAACTACCAGTGAGGATGTACATTGATCAACTTTTACCCTCCTATCTATCCAATTCTACTCTTTATAATTTATACCAAAGAAACAGTTAAGGATGTACACAAAAGTATAAGGATATTCACTGCATCACTTGTATTGACAGGGAACAACTGGAAACAAATATCCAACAACAGTGGATTGGTTAATTAACTTACGGTATAGCAATAAAATAGAATAGTCAAAAGCGTTATTGTAGATGAAGAGCTGATAATATAAAAATAGATCCACAATGTAAAGATGCAAAAGGGCAGCTTATAAAATGCTATAATCAATTTTATTATTAAAGTTACACACACACAGAGGATCTAGTAGGTTATACACACAGATGTTAACAATGGTTCTCTCTTTCTAAATTTGGGATATTAAATTTTTTTATTTGTATTTTCTAATTTTAAAAAACTGGTTATAACAAGAACATATTACATTGATTTTTGTTTTTTTAAAGAGATGGGCTGTCATTTCTGATTAAGGGATTTAGCTACTCTAACATTGTACAAGAGTACCCCTTTGTAGCTTTAACATTTTAGTATTCTATAAAAGGAAAACCTAATTAACTGTATTATATCCTCTGGAGAGCAGGAAGGAGTCACTGTAGCATATTCTACATTAATAGGGTGAAACTCTATTAGCATACAACAAACAAATCAAAAAACCAACCACCTAGAAGACAAAGGCACCCCACCTACACATTTAGACTGGAGAGTCTCTACTATTTACTTAAGGCTATAGAATTCTTTTCTTTCCAGATTTTGTCTTGAAAGCAATATTCCTTTTTTTTCAATTTTTTAAAATTCCAAATGACTTCCACACAAAACCAAACCAATCAATTTGATGTACAATTGGTAGCTGGAAGGAAAGGCCAGAATTGAATTGGTAAGGTGAGGGGAATATTTTTTTCTACTTTTCCCACTTCAAGGTAGAGAAGCTTCTATTGGAGTAATATTTCTGGTCTCTTTCTGACCCCTTGCTTACTCTTCCCCATGGAGGTAACTACAATTATTTGCTTCAGAGATTAGACAAGAAAAAATTCAAGTTAAATCTAAATTTCAAGGTGTGGCCATTTTAACCACAGCATAAAAACGATTTGTCTGCCTGCCTAGAAACATATACACAAGCAATAGCTATGTGTTTATTCAACACTTGCTGTCTGGCTGATCCAGGTGCTCGGCATCAAAAGACTTACATAAGTAGTCTGCTCTATGATGGGAAGTTTCTATGTACATGCAAGAAACGGGTCTGATGAGGAAGGCATATCAACACAATGAGTCCTTAATAAAAATCCACATTTCAAGGTATATGACCTATCTCTATTTTGTGCTACATAGTGCTTCTGTTTGGCGAATCAAAAACCACACCAGCTCAGTGACCTGTCACCTAGTTCTGCATGTCATTTTGTGTATAGAGGGAACTTCTATTCAAATACTATCCCCTTCCTTCTCCAACCAGCTCAATTGTCACCTCCTTCTTAAACCTTCCCTCCTCACCCAAGCTGCAAATAACCTCTTGTTCTCTTAAAATTCTAAACTCTTTGTTTCTACCACTCATTATATGTGATTTTGTATACATGTTCTTTTACTAGATTATAAGCTCTTGGATGGCAAGGTCCAAGTCATTTATTTGTATATGATCCACAGGGCCTTACACAGTTATTCAATAAATGTATATGAGACTAAAACTTTAGAATGTACCTAAATTTAAAAGCTTCCTTGTTCCCCACCCCTAAATAATGCAAGCATTAAAGAATAGGCCTAATGTCCACCTTGGAGACATAATAGTTATAGCAGCAACTTTACCCAATGTACTTAACTTTTTTGGCTTCCTCAGCTTTTAGTCTCATGTATGTAATATAAGGATGAGATACTGTCCACCTAGAGGAGCTATCTTGATAAAACTCTAAAGAGCAGCACCATGTAACAAATATAAAAATGTGAGCTACTTATGAAATTTAAAATTTTCCAGAAGCCACATTAAGTACAAAAAAAGAATGAAATTAACTTTAATATTATATTTTATTCAACACAATATATCTAAAATATTATCATTTTTACATGTAACCAATAAAAAAATATTGAGATATTTTACATCCTTTTTATCACCGCTAAGTCTTTGAAACCTCGTATGTATTTTACACTTCCAGCATATCTCCATTCATACCAGGCATGACTTATGAGCTGTGAAAGCTAGTTACTTAATTTCTCTTTGCCTCTGTTTCCTCAATTTTAAAAGGAGGAAGATAATAGTATTTACTTTATAAAGCTGTACTTATATTTATTAATAACAATATAATATGTGTAAAGGACTTAAAACAGTAGTACCTGGCAAACTATAAGGGCTCAATAAATATTAACTACCACTATCCTCCTCATCATAATCCATTTATGACAAAACTGAGCCAAAAAAACAAGTGTATTTCCCAAGTTCATAAAGCAAATCAATGCTGGTTCTACTCTCTGTCTTTTAAATAGGTGTCTATTAAACCATGAAGGGCAGCTGGGAGCAATGGAAAATCATACTTTTTACCCATTTAAAATTCCAAAGTGCTAGCCAAATGTAGTTTGGGAGTCAGTCCAAACAGCAACATTCTTCAAAATGGTAGCTTAGAGAAATGTCATCCAGCTGTGTTATATTAATAGTCCTGTTCTTGTGCCAGTAAAAAGCTGTTTTAATGACTATCCCCTTGTAGTATAGTTTGAAGTCTGGTAAATTGATACCTCCTATTTTGTTTTTATTGGCTAGGATTGATTTTGCTATATGGGGTCTTCTCTGGTACCATACGAAGAGTAAAATTATTTTTTCTATATCTGTGAAAAATGATGATGGTATTTTGAATAGGGATTGCATTGACTCTGTAAGTAACTTTGGGTAGTATAGACATTTTAACAATGTTGATTCTGCCGACCCATGAGGATGGTATATTATTCCATCTGTTTGACCAGTGGAACAGAACAGAGAACCCAGATATAAAACCATCCACATATAGCCAACTAACTAATCTTTGACAAAGCAGACAAAAACATACACTGGGGGAATGAATCCTTATTCAATAAATGGTGCTGGGAAAACTGGATAGCCACATGTAGAAGACTGAAACAAGACCCACACCTTCCACCTCTCACAAAAACCAACTCACGCTGCGTAACAGACTTGAACCTTAGGTGTGAAACTATTAGAATTCTAGAAGAAAATGTTGGAAATACTCTTCTAGACATTGGCCTAGGCAAAGAATTTATGAAGAATAGCCCAAAGGCAATCACAACAGCAACAAAAATAAACAAATCGGACCTGATCAAATTTAAAAGCTTCTGCACAGCCAAAGAAACTATCAAGAGAGCAAACAGACAACCCACAGAATGGGAGAAAATTTTTGCAAGCTACACATCTGATAAAGGGCTGATAACTAGAATCTATTTAGAACTTGGGAAAACCAGCAAGAAAAAAATCAAACAACCCTATCAAAAAATGGGCAAAGGACATGAACAGAAACTTCTCCAAAGAAGACAGAATAATGGCCAACAAACATGTGAAAAAATGTTCAACATCTCTAATCATTAGGGAAATGCAAATCAGAACCACAATGAGATATCACTTAACTCCAGTGAGAATGGCCTTTATCAAAAAGTCTCCAAACAACAAATGCTAGCATGGATGCGGAGAGAGAGGAACACTCCTACACTGCTTGTGGGACTGCAAACTAGTTCAACCTCTGTGGAAAGCAATATGGAGACACCTCAAAGCGATACGAGTAGATCTACCATTTGATCCAGCAATTCCACTACTGGGCATCTACCCAAAAGATCAAAAGGCACTTTATGAAAAAGACATCTGCACTCGAATGTTTATAGCAGCACAATTCACAATTACAAAGCTGTGGAAACAACCCAAGTGCCCATCAATTCATGAGTGGATTAATAAAATGTGCTATATGTATACCATGAAATACTACTCAGCTTTAAGAAACAATGGTGATATAGCATCTCTTGTATTTTTCTGGATAGAGCTGGAACCCATTCTACTAAGTGAAGTACCTCAAGAATGGAAAAACAAGCACCACATGTAATCACCAGCAAATTGGTATTAACGGATCAACACCTAAGTGGACATATAGGAGTAACATTTATCGGGTGTTGGGAGGGTGGGAGGGGGGAGGAGGGGATGGGTATATATAACCACAACGAGTAAGATGTGCAACGTTTGGGGGATGGACATGCTTGAAGCTCTTACTCGAAGGGGGAAAGGGGGCATGGGAAATATAAGTAACCTTAACACTTGTACCCCCATAATACGCTAAAATAAAAAAATTTAAAAAAATAATCCTTTTACCCTACCACTTCCTTTAAGCTCCGTCCCCATTTGCTGCGATATTTCATCAGTTTTAATAGGTGATAAAGTATAACTTCTTATGTTTTACTCTGCATTATTTTGGATTATTTTTATTGCTATTTAAAAAGATTACTGGTAATAT